AGATGGATTAGCGCGCGAGAAGCCAGCAGGAAGTCCGCGATCTTCTCCGTTCCAATTTAACTGTTCCGAGCGCGCGCGAACACCGTTTACACATAATAATTACAACGATTTCTACAAGCAAGCGAGCTACATGCGCCCGGCGGCTCTCTTGCTTTAACTCTGCCTAGTCGCACCTGTTTCCACCTTCCTCGTTCATCATCGATTACAGTACATCGGATGCATTACGCGATGGTTATTATTACAATTGCCTCTGCTACTATGAATATTCCTCATCACTGTGATTATCGATATTACACTATTATTATATCATTAATCTCGTTATTATGGCGAGTACTTTGGTGAGAGTGAATTATAATCTTTACACAACTCTTTTGAAAAAATTATTTTATAAAAAAAGTTTTATATATATATGTGTGTTACATATTTTTTGTGATTTTACTTGAATGTAACAAAATTATATTATGACTCTTATGGATGATTCATCTCGGCATTCTTAGGCAAACGTATCGCCATATACACATCACTAATTCAACACCGACTCGCATTTGGTCTCTGGCGTGTGATCGATGAAGCGCAAGTGTACGTTATATAGGCGGCCGATTGAACGGCCGTCGTAATTGCCGAGATGACCGTTCACGAGTCGTTATGTCAAGCGGGCGTTATGAATACCGCGAGCCATTGTAAATATTCCTGTGCAATTCTTTGCGCGCTCTTCTCATCCGGTCGGCAGCGTGATTTGTAACGCTTATCGCGTGTATCATTAGGTAAAATGCGCCGCGCGCCATTTGCGAAAAGTCTTTTCGCTATTTGCGATATCTTACAAGCTGTCCGTATAAATACCGGAGATTCGTAAATTTGTTTTTACTATCGTAGTCCATCGATGTGATAAGAACAGTCTTTCAACGGCTGTACATAAAAACTTTTAATAACTGTGATATTTATCATTTTTAAAATTAGAATAGTTTCTATTATTTTTTTTGAATTTTACAAAAGACACGAATAGTTTTGAAAAATTGAGTTAAATATAGATCTGAAAATAATTTTTTTGGACCATCAAAATGATTATGTAGGGCGCTCAAATTTGCTAGAATATCAAAACTTTTTCTAGGTCACCATGTATTACTTGTACTTGAAGTTCCTATCCTTGGATATATCGTTGTGTATATATCAGTCTATTTTAATTCCAATTTATCTTATTCAATTTATCCTTTCTATCGATTGAACCTAATTAAAAAGATCAAATTAATCTCAGTTTACAATAGTTACATTCGCACAAGTAGAACAATCAGTCTAAATCTAGTTATCGATGTCGTGGCGTCCGCCGATGCGTCTCCGTAAAGGGTACTTCGTGACACTTTGAGGAATCGTGCCTCCCACGGGCATCCTCTCCGAGTTAACCTGGTTTCCGAAGTTAATAGGTCTCTGTTTCTATTCTTTATTTTTTGACCTGATCGGTCCAGTCTTTTTGTAGCAACGAGATTTTTTTTTTTTTTAGCAAAGTGACTCACTACTGTTTCTCTCGCTCCAAGAAAAGTTTTTTCCCCTCTCGAAGGAGGGTCTATGATTTTCTACATTTCCACGCGACAGCTCTTTCATTAAACAGCGAGCGGCAAAGCGGAAAATCGACGACAATAGTCGAGAATTCTACGGCGATTGGAGAAAAATCCGATCCATGTAGCTTCCTCCTCCCTCTGATGTTCAAAGGGTATTGTTGTTCTTCTGTTTGGCTGAAAAGACGCGTCCCCTTTTGTCCCTTTATGAAGCGACACTATCAAATTGTTTCCCAATAGCAGTGACGTCGAATGTGAAGTTACTATAACTTTGATCTCTTTTTTATTTTTTTGCAACAACGTTATTTCCGATTAATGTTCGACATACAAATTACTGAAGACTGTGCTGCACAGAATCTTACGGCTTTCATTGTGTCTATTGTAAGTCAAGGAATGATTACAGAATCTGTGAAAACTGAAATCTTTTATGAGAGACTTACAATTAGTGTAATATTAGATTACATAATTAGGTTACAATTAATCATTAAATAAAATTGTATCCGTTACCAAGCTTTTTACCCTATAAGAAAATAATTGATTGCACACGTTATAATTCAATTAGGTATGAAGTTGATAATTTTCTCATAGGATAAAAAGTTGGTTTCGGATTCAACAACTCTGATATTCACTCTGTATATTAATTATGAGAAATAATTTACGTTTCACGATTTGTTTTTATCTTGTTTTGAGAAACTTAAAGTCGGGATTTATGTTATGATACTTTATCAAGTTATGTTTTTGAATAGATATACATGTGCATTAATTGAATTAATACATAACATTTATATTCCTAAGTAATATTACATTTACGTTTATACATCTAAGTAAATATTAGCTCACAAAATTTTATATTATTTAACAAAACTTTGCCGAGTATAAATACTGAGATTTGCCGGAAGATATTCCGAATAATAATGATTTCGCCAAACACTGATATGACCTCCGGGCCGAATTTACTGCGGTATAAAACTGTGCTATTCATTTAATGACAGCATATTCTCTGCGAGAGGTTTTAAGTCGTCGTTCGCATTCGACGTTGCTTTTTAAAGACGTGCTGTCCGGTTATCCGGCAATAAAAAGAAAAAGACGAGAGACGTATCCTCCTTTCTTCGATTGCTCGGGGCGCATCGATCTCGAGGCTCCTTGTAGAACTGGGTCGACGACATTTCTTCGAGGAGAAGAGCCGAGAGGACGGATTGTTGTTAGCTCCGCAGGACGGATAGGATTTGTCGCTTACAACCGGCTGCCGACAAATCTTCTCCAGTAGCTACGAGAGACATTTTAGACATCGAAGGGATCACCTTTTACCGTGCACTCTTGTCCACATGGCTATGTCTTCACCACGTTAGCACTCAGTACTTCGCCTCGGAAGGATGTACTGACGCGACGACGACACGATGTGCACAAAGTCATCGGCTTTCGAGCCACGAGAACAGTCGCTCACTCGAGGTGTTCTATTTCCAATGTCTGAAATCGCTGGGTTGTCGTCTCTTTTACAGTAGACGTCCAACAGAAACTCGACATCTCCGAGATGTTCTATTTCGAAGCGGCCAGGTGGACTCGTCGTCTTGCAGTTAAGCTCGTCGTTGAAGACGTTCTATTTCAGTTGTTCGAAACCGATCATTTCGGCGAGAAAATGTCACCATTTTGAGCGCTCAAAACCGCTGAAGATTACTGGGATTGTTAGCTCTGCAGATTGCGGTCCATCGACAGAAGTGCGTTTTATTTCAAATGAATCGGTCTGAAAGTCTGGAATAGTTTTCCACCTTGCTATCCAAAGCTCTTCTTATTTCGGATTTTCGCAATACGCGCGGTGCATCTTAGAAAGCTAGTTGATTTTTATTTAAACTCGGCGTGAAATGATTCCGACTCTTTCTCCGAGATGATCGAGAAATTCTGTTGTACTATTATCACTTTTGTAGGAATATTCTTAACTATATTAGATATACTAAATTAAAATTTATAATTAAAATTTATAAATGTCTCATATCTTTTATGTGTTCCGTAAATGTCAGTATTTAGGATAGCAACCGATAAATGATAAGTCTGCGATACGGTTTTCTAACGGTGCATCATGTAACATCTCTGCAATTAACGTTCTTTCTTACTTACTATTTTTGCGAAGGATATAATTATGTTCGACATACTAAACTGTATTACGATATTGAGGACGCAATATATTAATTATTGATGCATCCGGGAATGGTATTTTAAAGAGATTTATGTAAATTTCTTCATTTGACATCGATCATTATTTTTTTATTAAATGTTCATTTATAGAAACAAAAATAGGATATATATTTCTTGCAACTAAAACTTTGAGAAGATTTAAATTCGAACATATTTTATCTTGCAAAATAAATGATTTTATTATTTATTTTTACTCGTATACGGACGTAAATGTAATCTATTATGAAATCTGGATTAGTCATAAGAGGAATCAATTAAGCGATGAATTCAAAGATAATTGCAAGAGACGAATTTGAACCTATCAGGATGCATTTCGAGATGCCATTGATGAAAAAATAAGAGAACTCATTTCGACCCTTCGTCACGGATGATGATGGAACTGGTGAGATGGGTCCAATTTCCTGAATGGCCAGACTGACGACGACTTCTACGTGCATTACATACGGGTCGCCGGAAGTAGGTCCGCGGAGGTCTGGATTAAGGACGGAAATCGCTTCGTCGGTGACTACCATCGTCACTCGCGTAATGATGTCCCTCTAATTTGTTCCCGCAGCAACCCGAAGGCCCTTGTTGCTATCATGCGAATTCAGGCATCTTAGATTACAATGTCAAATAGAATTTAAGAACCATCCAAAATGTCCTCGACAAATTGGATCCTCCCCCTTTTTTTGCCTCTCTCAGACCGGAGATCATTTTTATGGCGACTATTAAATTTGCGGGCAAATATCAGTTTATCTCCTTTATCCTTCCTATGCGTTGGCCAATTCTCTTTTCTGAATTTGCGGTATCTGAGTTTCTCTACAAAATTTGTGTACTGTTATAAAAAAATTATATTAAAGATAATATTATGAGTATATATATACAATACACACACACACACACACACACACACACACACACACACACACACACA